AGCAGCCCTGCCAGCTCTGATCTCGGGCAGGGCCGCACCCCGGGGAGGCCCCGCGCGCCAGGGCCCGAGCTGACGGATGAAAGGAGGCGGCTGCTGGTAGCTGGGGGCCGAGTGTCTCCGAAATGAGGCCGAGTGGGCGGGACGGCACCCAGGGCTCCTAATGGGGGGGTTTGGTCCCCTCCCAAAGCACCTTCCCAATCCAGTGCATCAACAGGCTGCCGAGAGGGAGGCAGGTGGGGTGAGGAGAGCACCCAACACCTTCAGGCTCCTGGGCTGAGGGGGGCAGGCATGGCTCCCCCGACCCTGACTCCGTTCCTGGTGAGTGGCCAGCTCTGCCTGGTCTTGTCCCATCTCCCCAGGACCCGCAGCCCCAGCTCAGACCTCGCAGGCCTGCGGGCCACTTAACAAGGGCTGGCCTCTGTTAGTAATTAAAATATCTGAGGCGGCTTTGAAGAGGAAACCATTAGGCCCGGCCGGGGAGGCCCCAGGCTGCCCTCCCCTTGAGGACAGGACATTCCTCCTGCTCTGGAGGCGGCCCAGCAGGCGCTGGGTCAACACTCCTCACCCTGCAGGAGCGGCTGCAGTGGGCCCGGCTGGGAAGGCAGGCAGGGAGCAGGCAGCAGGGGCCTCCAAGGCAGCAGGCCACTTGCAGGGAGGGCTCTGACCCTTGACCTCAGGACCTGCCCCAGCTGCGCTGCCTGTGGACCCTGTCCACCCAGCCCCAGGGCAGGGAGCTCCGCAGCCAAAGGGCCGGTCCCCTGGGGCAGCAGCAGAGGAGGCAGGAAGCAAGCACAAGGCCAACTTTAGAGGCTCTGCACCCCTCACCCCTGTCCCGGGCCTGCAGAGCGGCCCCAGAGTCCACCCCCGCCCGGGCCAGGGGCCAGTACCTGAAAGAGGGTCAGCGTGTGGTCCTCCAGGATGGTCTTTGGAGGAGTGATGACTGGGGAGAGAATGTCTTCGTGAGGAAGGCCTCGCCCCACCCCCTCACCCCTCACCTACCGCCCGTTCCCCAGGGACGACTGGTCGGAGGGCTGGCAGCCTCAGCTGGGGCTATTCTAGAAGAACCCTCCGTCCACAGCCCTCTGCCCACTTCTCTGCTGCAGCAAAAACCCTGGTGAGGGCCTTGGGTGGGGGGAGTGACCCGGGGCAGCCCCTGCCAGGACCCCAGCCCTCAGCGCCCCATCCACACAGCTCCGGCTGCTGGCAGCAGAGGACTGTGTCCCTGTGGGGAGGCGCAGGGCAGGCCTGAGCAGTACTCACACAGGTGGAAGGGCAGCTCGGGGTTCCCCAGGTGGCTCCTCACAAAGTCCCGCAGGTCCCCCACTGAGGAGGAAGGAGAGGGTGAGCGGGGCCCCAGCAGACGCACCCCGATGCTGGCCCCAGTGGGATTGGACAGGCCGGCCGCACCAAGCTGCCCCCCACCCTGGGCAGCCGCCTCCTGGGCCTTGACACTCAGGACACCGATCCAAGCCCGGGGCTGGGAAGTCCACCTCGTTCCTTCCACAGGACCCAGACACTCAGCGGGCCCGGGGCAGGGCCACTCCCGGCCCCCACCCTGCAAACGGCCTCCCTTCACCTGCCCAGCTGCTCCAGGCCCGCGGCCCGCAGTGGGGGCGGGGAGCTCTGGGTGGCCCTCTGTCCAGAACGAACGGGTGCAGGGGCCAGGCACCGCTAGGCCAGCCCGACAATCACCCAACACGCTCTGCAAGCTCAGAGCCCACTGCCTGCAGCCCCCAACCCCCCGCCCCCCCGAGGCCAGGGCCCGGCAGCCACAGGCCCACA